CTACTTATTTATTTATTTATTTATTTTTTTTTATTATTATTTTTTTTTTGGATGGACACGACGGGGGGAGGGTGGTGGTGTCGGCTCCGTGCCCGGCTGGCTGGTGGGTCCTGCTGCCGGTCCCGTGCCCCCGGGCTATGGTGGTGAAACTGGTGGGGCCCCCTTCTCTGGGGGGGCTCTCGGGGAACGGGGGTGCCTATTGGAGTCAGCGGGGGAGCTGGCTCCCTGGGAGTGCAGCAGGCACCCCAGTCCTTTGCTCCCCATCCCCGAAATCCTCCCTCTGCCTGCTCCATCACTCGGCCACACATGTAGGTTTTTGGGGAGGGGGTCGTTACTGGAGGGCCACACCTTCTGATGACGTCCCCCACCCCAATTTTATAATGCATTTTAGACACTTCCATCTACATCATTTTCACAACACACATCTATGTAGGGCATTTTCGGGGGGTGGGGGTCAGGGCCACCGGGGGGGGGGCTTATTTTATGGGCCTCACCACGGTCGGCCTCCTCCATCCCCTCTCGCATCTAGACATTGAGGGTTGAGGGTTGTCGAAGGGGGAGGGTGTGCTGGCACCGTCTATCTCCTGGAGGGGGGGTGGAGTGTGCCGGACACCCCCTCTTGGTACTCCCAGTTTTAATTGCATCTGAGAGCAACACGCAACAACACCACATTCGAGCGGGCGCAGTGAGGATCGGGGTCTTCTCACACCCCTGTTCTCCGGCTGCCGCCTGGAGTCTGGGGCCTGGAGGAAGAGCGGGCCACCTGGCTGGGGCTGGCTGCGGGGCCTAGGTGGCCTGCTGGTGGCGGGGCTGTCACCTCTGCTCTCCCCAAAGAAGGTTGGATGGAGGGGCATGAAGTGCCTGGATGAAGGTTTTTTTTTTTTTTTTTTTTTTTTTTTTTTTTTTTCTCTTTCTTTTCGGGGGGGGGGGGGCGGTTCTGGTTGGGTGGCCGGCGCGGGATGGGTGGGCCCCGGTCCCGGGGGGGGCTCTTGCGGGGGGCGGTCCGGTCCGTGTGCGGGGTGGGGGGCCGGGCTTGAAGCAGGAAAGAGATGGGTTGGTGTGGCGGTGTCGCCGCTCCCCTCCCCTCACATCCGGATTTTAGGTTCACTTATGGGGTCATCCGATAGTCCCGGGACCGACCACCGGTGTCACCGGGTTTTTGGTCCTGGTATTATTGGATGTGAGTGTTATGTGTGAATGTGTGTCTGCGTTGTTATTTTCTTTATTTATTATTATTATTATTTTATTCAATTTTTTTTTTTTTTTTTTTTTTTTTTTTTCCTGTGGTACGAGTGGGGGCACTAGGGAGGGAAGGCATGATTGAGATGGTGTGTTTTTTTTTTTTTTTTTTTTTTTTTTTCTTTCCCAGGTTGGGGTCTCAACCGCACCCTCTCCCAAATACATCTCAAGTCTCCGCTAAGTGCGGAGCCCATTCCCCCCGTCCTGCTCTCCCTCCGCTGGCTGGCGTCGGGGCTCACCGGTGCACTGGTGGAGCTGGGGGTGGATGCCCGGGGGACTGCTGGCTCATTCCTGGCGGCCTCTCCGCTGGCCCCGGCCGGCCGGGGCTTTGCTGGGGCTCCTGTCTGGGGATGGGGTGCCCTTGGGGCCTCGGATCCCTGGGGCCTGGGACTGGATCCGCTTCGGGGTGGGGCTGGGTGTTGTTCGGGGATTTTCGGGGTCGGTGCCGGTGCCTTCGCTACGATGCCGGTTCCTGGGCGGTGTTTCTTTCCTATGCCGGTTCTGTGGTATCGGTTCGGGGAGGGGGGGAGCTGCGCGGCATGGTGGGTGCGGGTCTTGGGTCCTGTTTTGGGCTCCGGTTTTTCCGCTCGCACTTCTCCTCTTGCCTATTTATTTTAATTGTAATTATTAATTAATTTATTTATTTACCTATTTATTTGTTATTTATTTATTTATTTTTTTTTTTTTCTCTTTTTTCTTTGGGGGGTTTGGCATGTCTGTTTTCTCGGGGGGCGGGCGGGCCTGCTGGGTGGGGGTCCTGCTGGCGGCGCGCCGCTGGTGTGTGAAGCTCCGGGCGGCTCCAGCGGGGGTAGTGTTGGGGGCCCGGTCTGGGCGGGCTGGCTGCGCTGGCTGGGTATTCGGGTGGGTTTTCCCTCCTGGAGGCATGGCGGGGCTGCTCTGTTCCCACTGATCGCGGCGGGTGGGGCTGCGGGGCGGGTGGGGGCCTGGGGTGGCTATGACCGGCGCGTGGTGGGGGGCCGGGGCGGCGGAGCTGCTCTGGCCGCGTGTCGGGGCCTGGTGCGGGCTGCGGGGGGGGGTGGCGGACGTGGCTGGGCTGCTTTGGCATCGTCCGGTGGGGGGGCGGCGCGGTTCGCTCCGCTCTGGCTTTGTGCTGCCCCTCGGGCTGCTGGGGGGGGTGGTTGCGCCGGCTGCGGTCTGCTCTTCTTGCGGTTTTGCGCCGGGCGGCTTTTCTGCTCTCGGGCTGATTCTGTGCGCGGTGTGTTTCGTTGCGCGCTGTTGGCATCGGTCTTGGTGGGGTGGGGCTGCGCTTTTGGCCGGGGGGGCGTTTTGGGGGGGGTCCCGCGGCGCTCGTGGCCGGTTCGCGGCGGATGCGCGTGGGCCCCGGCCGGGGGCGGGGCCGCCTTAGTGTTTTCCTGGGTGGTGCGGTCGCGGTGGGTGTTGCGGCCGGTCGCCGGGGCTTGGTGCGGGGGGGCGGGGCGTGTTTCGGTGCTCTGTGGGGCTGGGGCGTTTCGGTCGGCGCCGTGGGGGGGCTGGTGTTCGGCGCCCGGCCCTACTTCGGGGTGGCCGGCTGCCGGCGGGGCCCGCGGACTCGTCCCCGCGACTCCCCGGGGCGCCGGCATGGCGGTGGCTGGGGGGCTTCCTCGTGGCTGTCTCTCCTCCTGCCTTGGTGGGGTCTGGTTTCCGGGGCTGGCCCCACCTTGGTGCCTTCGCTTCTGGGGTCCCCTTGGGCGCCTGGGGCTTTGGGTCTCCCGGCGCTGGACTCAGTGCTCTGGGGGGTGTGCCTCTCCGGCTCTCCACAACCACTATTGAGCATTTTTTTCTATGGTTAAAACTTTACATGCACAAGTTCACCCTCACAAACAACTACAGGTGCTAGGCTTCAGGTACTTAGAGATTCACTTCCAAACAGAAACCCCACATTCATATCTTCAGGTAACACAGAGTACATGTCAGACTTAATAATATTACTTTAGTGATAGTTTCAAGGTGTTTGCTTTATTGTATATATCGTACCATGTTTTTTGGTTGTGCTGTTCTTTTTTCTTTTTTTTTTTTTTCTCCATCTCATTACAGGTGTTGAAGCAGACTGAAAATGTTTTGTCATTGTCTCCTTCCTATCTCCTCTTTCTTTCATCTTTTGTCCTGTTTTTTTCTTTTTCTTTTTCCTTCTTCTTCTTCTGTTTTTCTGCTCTACTTACATTGCAGTGTCCATATGAACTGTAAAACTCCCTGCATAATTATAATAAAGCAATTTATATACATGAAACAAGTGGAGCGGTATGGCAATTGCGATACCGCTACACTTGTGAAAGTAAAATCTGTTGGGCTCCTTTTGGCATCAAGACAATTATTCTTATTGCCACCTTGCCAGACAGGACACTGTAAAAAAAAAAAATAAAATAAAAAAAAATAAATAAAAAAATAAAAAAAATAAAAGAATTTGCAAGAGGGAACAGTTTTATCTGGGTTTTGGGAAACAAAATTGTGCTAAAATGCCAGTCAGATTGGTAAAATAAGGCTCCTAAACTGATGTCATTTTCATGACTTCAACTAATTTAAGTTTTGATAAAAAAATAAAAAATAAAAAAAAGTAAATATTGTGGTACTCTGTTTTTGAAAGTTGGGGTCTTGGCCACCAGGGGACGTTAGGAGGGCCTCAGGAACTGAGGGAATACAAAAGAACATAATAAAAAAAAATCTATACTGTTTGATCATGGTCATAAAACAAAAATAAGTTGACTTACCAAGAGAATCTTAAACTAAACGTTGCACCTTTTTCCTCCAAGTTCGTAATAAAGGACTAACCAAACCAGCTAATAGCACTAAAATATCCTCTTTCTTTCTTTCGCAAAACCTATTTCTTTAAGTCTGACTTTTCATCTTTAAAGTTACTTCAAACTGCAAATAAAATACATTTACCCTCGGACAATGACATATGGCTTTACTTATGCTGAGCCCTCTGACTTCTGGTTTTGTTCTTATCACAAGTTTGTGGGAACATTTTTTTTTTCCTATTCAATGGGAATTTAAAACTGTGTCAAAAACATCTTAGTGAACATTTATACGATAAACAAATGTAATGATCATGAATAAATGACGATACGAAGGAAGGTAATTGCACTGATTTCCATATTTAGCAATTTTAAGCAAGCAGCATAAAATGAAGGAGTTTAATTTGAGACCATAGAGCCCTTAGCCTGACGTAGTCCGACTCAATTCTAGTCAGAATATGAGTCTGATACTGCTCCATAGAGCTGTGATTATGGGGCGTGTTTCGAACGAACCAGGAAAAAAAATGCCTCTGCACTCAATTGGATAGACCTACAACCAATAAGAGCAACGGAGTGCGTGACGTATCTTAAGCGAGGCATAGTTGTTGTCCACAAAAATCAAAGCGTGCAGTTTCACGCCTAGAATAAGAAGATGAGACTTGATCGCGTTTCTCTGTTCCTCTTTTAAAATTAATTTGCTGTCGATATCTTCTAGAACAGACCTAATAGCAGAATCTACTCACCCAAACTCTCCAGCGGCAGCCATTATTGTTGTCACCCAAGCGCGCTTTGGTCACGTGGTTGATAACGTTACTCTTGATCATCTGTCGATCATCGTATAAAGTCCGCCCTGACAATTTGATTGGATCGCCTGACAGTGGGCTTTAATACTCGCGCTACTATGGAGCAGAGCCAGACCGAACTTCCCCGAACTCAAACCTTGTGGGCGGGACTAAGTTCGGACTGGCACCCAGGCTATAGAGCCCTAGCAATCTCACATTGATTCTTATCTAAAGGAATTTCACCTACCTGAGGTTTGAGCAGGGCCATCCAGCTTGGATTCACATTTTGAAAGAGAGCAGTCTATAAAGAAACAGAGAGATGCATTATTAGCAACAGATGTAAAGATCATTAGGTGTTGAGTTTGGGGGTTTCTTTTATGTCTTTGTATTTTTGCTGTTTATGTTCTCTAATTGTAGCCATTCTACTTCTTTCTTATGTGAATTTGATTCCTAGTTTATTCTTGTTCTTTGTATGTTTGGTGTTATCTGTCAGACAGCTGTTCCGTACTCTCCATCTGATTGCTCACACCTGTTTTTCCAGGCATGTATATAAGCTGTGGTTGCCATTGTTCATCAGTTTCTTTCTTTATTCTACCTCTTGTTACATCACTTTGCTCTATTCTCAGATTTCCCGTACTGAGATTAAACACAACCTTGCATGTTGCTTACAGACATTCATGCTCTAACACTGCAGCATAAGCTTTTAATTAGTATTACTTTGTATAAATGAAAACATGAACGCTAGAAGTCCCAGAGATTTTCAGTTTTCCTGCAAGCCCCCTTCCCCTCTTCAGGTTTGTGTATTCACTCTACCTTACTAACTGTCCCTATTGTAATGCAAATAACCTGTGATAGGATCAGCCCTTCTACATGAGACTGAAACAAACTGGCATCAGAACAAGATCATGCTCTGAACACTTTTCATTACCTGCCCCTGCAACATCAGACCGTTTTGCAGGAATATCTTGATAAGTCATAACTAAATCTTTTATTTAGGCAAACCTATTGAACAACCAGATATCATACGAGCTGAGAAAAGGTCATAACCATGCTTTTCCAACAGGGCAAGGCAGAACCTATTTATATTGTCAATTCACCAACAGACTCATTTATATTGTAAAGCTTACTATGTAAACGAAAGAACAACTTAGAGAATAATTTTTGTCTTGTCTTGCCTTTTGATGTCAATCAAAATTTCAGCTTAGAAAATGGCAAACAGTCTGATTTCAGTATAGCAGTAACATTTATTTCACCCAAGGAAAAGCGCTACATATGAAGCTACAATTGTCCCCTTTAGCAGTTTTTACAAACCCAAGGATGTGTCCTTCCTGCATTTGCGACAGGTATACTTGTGCACAGTGCACACAACGCTGAGTGCTGTGGTTCCTGTTGCAGAGATTGCACACCTGGCCTGCTTATAATAATAGTGTAAAAATAGAGTTCTCCCCAAAGTAAGAGTTGTAGTATGATCCAGATGAAGTAAAATATGTATCCTACAAGTTTGGTGGCACTACAATGATGTATAGTGTAATTATTGGCTATTATATGCTTACAATAACAATGGAAAAAATCTCCAAAAATACATTCTGGCCTATCTTCCCAAAGTAAGAGTTATAGTATGAACTAGATGAAGTTATCTATTTATCCATCAAGTTTGGAGGCACTACAATGATCTATAGTGTAATTATTGGCTATTATATGCTTTTAATAACAATAAAAAAATAAAAAAAACAATAGATTAGCACATATTCCCAAAGTAAGAGTTGTATGATCCAGATGAGGTTATCTATGTATTTTACATTGTAGTTTGGAGGCACTACAATGATCTATAGTGTAGTCATTGCTCATTTCATACTTATTCTAATAATAAAATAGAGGTGCCATTTGTCATTTAGGCTTTGAGAAATTCCTCAAAAAAGTATTATTTTCTAATCCAATAAATGTGGTATGAAAGACATGAGATGAGATACACATTAAATTAATTTGATAATAATCCACTTCTTGTTGATGACACTTTTGAATATTTCTCTTTGATTATTTTGCAACTTGCAGCCGGTCCTTAAAAGACTTAATGTAAAAAGGAAACTACTTAACTACTTAAGTCTAACTTCTTTAGAGAAATTCTTGCCTATTCTTTCATGCATACCACAGAAAAAGTTCTCTGTTTCTGGGTCACTCAAGAAGATAAATGAGAGGGCAAGAAAGAAGGACATGGGCAGCTTAGCTCTCTGCTCTGACTTCCTTTCAGCCTCTCTGAAAAGAGCAGACTGGCATATGCTGTTGCCTAGTGAGGATTACAGTAAGCACCTGCTTACATGCTGTATGTCTTGTTTAATGTAGAGCAGATGAAGTGTTTGGTACAGGAAAAGGTCCTGATAAATCTCTAAAGGCCTTATCAGCAAAAAGACTGAGGGCAGAGGAATCTGAGGGGGCAGAGAGCTGAAAACCACTGGCCTGAAAGGAGAGGGAACTCATAGCTGTGATCCAAACCAAACTTCTGATATCCCAGAAAAAAATTGAACAACTAAGGATTATTGAGTAGCAATCTAAAAGCAGTGACGATGGAAAAGAAAGATATGGACAAATAGAAGGATTCTAGCTTCAGAAAGTGTTCTCAAAAGAAAATTCTATTTTAGAAATGGCAGAAAACCTCATTATATAGAACTATTTCTTCTTTCATAACTGAAAGGTGACATCATGTAGCATATGTAGACATTTAATATTTCAGAGGTAACTTCGTTTATAGATCAATACCATGTAAACAGTATAAATCAAAATGACCCACATAAAAAAAAAAAAAGAAAAGTTGCTATAGATCCTCAGGAGCAGCAACCAATTTCCCAGAGCTAAGCATTCCTTCAAGCACTGGCATTAAGAAAGGATGTTAAGATTGATCCTAGGCATATTGTAACCACAGAAAGGCCTAAGCTGAGTCGAGAAGCTCTGTTAACAAGAGACGAATTATAGGCTAACTCCAGAGAGAGGGAGAGAAGAAGAAGAAGTATTAAAGTGAAGAAGCAGAAAGTGGTATGTGGGAAAAATCACAGTGTTCCTAATTGAAGAGGGACGAACCAGATTTTCTGATATGATTCAAAACAGAAATCTGGGCTTTAGTTATCAGCCAATACCAGACACAGATCTGTTGTTGAATAAATGAAACATATACCTGCGAGTGAAGGCATTGGGCTTGACGTAAACACTGTTTAAAAAAAGTTACTAAATGAACACAGTTATTAATGTTCTCTAAATAATTTGAAAACAAAGTTGAAAAAAATGAAGTCTACATTAGTGGCAAAAAGAAAGGAATAACAGTTCCATGTAAAGCACAAACAGAAAACAGATTTTAAAATGCAATAAAAAATATAATAGCAGCTGCCTGAAACACGTATAGATCGTGGTAATTGTATTGACTGGACTGGATTAGAATGGTGGATCGGCTTCATTCATCCAAAATTCGTTCCAGCTAATTAGTCAATATGAGAACTGATACCAATTTAGGGTATCGAAATGGTTCATCTCTGGTTTATGTGCAATCTGAACAAGGATGTATAGTTTACATTTGGGGGGTAAGTGTGAAAAAAAACATTATTTTATATCAAATATTATTTCAGGTCATTTTTTAAATCCTTCTGTCGGTCAAAAAACATATCCATCTTCCAACTGTACATATGTTTGTTTTACCATCCATCCATCCATCCATCCATCCAGGTCCCTTAAATAGAGACCAATAACTGTAGAAATAACTGTTATAAAAAACCAAGGATTTGAATGATAACTCTGCACATTCTGGTTTTGAAAACTTTTGAAACATTATTATCAGGGTTTAAGTATGTCCATGTAAAGATTGAGGAAAGGTGGGACCATTATAATTTATTCAAATATGCCAGAAAAAAACAAACAAACAAAAAAAAAAAATAACGAATAGTGATTCAGAAATGCAAAGGTTTTTGTTTGAGGTTTGGTATCTGTTATAATCTATTTATTAAGATGATTAGAAATGAACAGTTTAATGTTTGTTTTTTTTTGTTTTGTTTTTTTTTTCTTGTTTGGTATGGAGTCCCGTTTCAGTCAACCAGAAATGAAGAATTGAGAGTAAAGACAAGACTCTGTAGCAATTAAGGGTAAAAATGCTTTAAATGGCCTGAACTCCTGTAACTATTTTTTTTAACTATAAAAAGTGTTTTACACTACATTCAGTCATTCACCAATTCATGCACACATTAATGGTGGCAAGCCACATTATAGCCACAGCTGCCTTGGGGCTCAATAACAGAAGTGAGGCTGCCAGGTGCTCCAACTACAATCAGTAGTCTGGCTGGCCCTTTCCATGCAGGGCAAACTTCTGCATCTGATACCACTAACACTCCAAAAAGGTAACACCTGTTTTGTTTTCGCTTTAAATTACCAATGCTCTGGATCTTCTTCATAATTCTGAGGTGAATGTTGGTTTAGCCACATTTGAATTGTAACCCCAGAGGCTGCTTAGAAGAGCTTTTTTAATCTAATTCCTATCACCGTTACACCCGTATGTTGCTCAGATATATGAAATTCCCCAAAAATGTGTTAAAATAGATACACATCAAATCATAATTTGAGAGCACTTATATTGCTTAGGCGTGATCCGTAAATATAGCATTTAATTTATAAATGGAAAGTATTTTTTGTTACAGGGCTGTGCACGGATTTGTGAAGAAAAAAGGTGTCCCAAAAATGTGGTAGTGTTTAAGCTATAACTTAGGAATTATTTGGGTAACATGATAACTGTAACCATTATAGTCGCTTTGGGAACAGACTCCCAGCAGGATCCATGCGAGAGGGCTGGCTTCCATATTTTTATCAAATTTACTTTTTTTTTTTCCATTTAAATGCACAAAACAAAAGGAGTAAGCATTTTTTTTCTTTTTCCGCCTGTTTCTTTAATTAGTTGCTGGTATTATTCAATATGGGGCTGCTTGGCTGTAATGCATCTCTCTGAGGTGTGTAACGAAACTTCTCTCTGTGACGACCTGGCAGCATCAGTTATTTTGACACGTGGTGGGTGCCTTCCTGCCATTTATACCACTTTACATATTCATTTGTAGGCATTCACTGGGCGTCTCAGGAAATTTATCTAGCTGTGTTTCGTTTTCCGTAAAATCGGCAAGTATAAATAAAAGGTGTGGGGAAACGTGACTTTTTTTCCTGCCGTAAGTTTCATGATTTCTCATCATCGTCAACTTTTTATATAAAATAAAAGTTAATATGGGAAAGCTGAAAAAAAGACATTTCCTATTATTTAATTAAGAATCTTCTCCTTTTTAG